ATAAAAAAATAAATCATTATAAAACATACAGAATTTTGATATAGAATCATTAATTACATATACAAACCTTATAAAAAATGTATTATTTCCTTATTTTGATTTCTTATAGGGTAGTAATGAGTATAAATCAGAAATATGTTAGCATTGCTTATTTTTACCTCAGTTGCTAATTTCTGATTTTATGCCTTAGTTTCAAAATTTCTTAATCTCAAGTATTATTTTATGGGAGTGATATAGTTAGACTAAAATTCTATAGATATGTGTGGGATGATATATTTCGAAATCTAGTGTAGAAAAAGAGTATTTATGTGAAATCTCATAATTAGCAATAGTGATAGGAAAAAAACAAATAATATAGAAATTTACAAAATTTTTGAACGCAAAGAAATAACTTGATGCTGAATCTCGCATTAAATGGACTAAAATCCTCCCTCTTTGATATCATATATTTCATTTGCTTCTTTAGCATTTTTATTGAAATTAATTATATGCAATTTTTTCATATGTAAAAGTGTTCACTTTATTGTGAGTGAGATTTATTGTGTTATATTTCCTCTAATTAATTAGATCAATCTGTGTGACAATCAATTTCTCATATATAAGTCCAAAAATTTCTTTACAACCGTGAGAAATAATTATGTCTATCATCTATGATGCAATCAAAGTACTCAATTTCACATAAGAGGAAAAAATGTCCTACGCACTTTCTTTATTAATAATCCAGATAAAAGAGGTGAAGTAGAACTCGTCTTTTCTACCTGTACTGAAGATGAGGCAGTTACTTATTTGAAAATTCTCTTAAAATCTGATACGTCTTCTCACAGATTTTATCAAACATAAAGATAATGCTTTCTGTCATATTCACCAATAATACCAAATACTTACTTATTCTTGTGCTTTTTTTTCCTGCTTCTTATTGTCAAATCCACCCAAAAAATACATTTGCATTATCGTAGAACAATCTAGTGCTACCAGTAAGTGAGTCATAATAAATTAGTCAACACAACAATGTTTAACTTGATTATTATATTGTCTTATTATCGATCTGAAACTTACTCATTCATTTCTATTACACAGTACTTCCAACAAAATCAATTGATGTTGCAATAAGTGAAGCTAAAAAACTATTTAATGAATATTCTCATAACCTAATAAAAGTTGCAAAAAACATATAAAAACTGTATTCAGCTTTTAGAGCATCAGAAAATAATAAATACAAAGAATCTATCGATAAGAAAAATATTCTGGTGATAAATGGATGACTTAATCTGCTTCTGCATAACCTTCCTGAAGAGGATGAACAAGGCCTTACTGATTATGATTCTTTTAAAAAGCATGTGGCAGAAAGTATTCCAAAAAGTGACAAAACTATTATACTGAGAACTTCTGGTTATGGCAAAACTCGCTTATGCATTGAAACTTTATGTCACAATTTTGGCCTATACTTAATTGCTTTTTCATATAGTATTGGTTCTTTAGACTTGGAAGAATCAGCATGTTGGATGAAAGATAATATCGCAGACAAATCAGCTAAAGTTGCAGAAGGAATTGCAGTGCAGACAATGATTAGTTGCATTGTTGGACGGCTGTTATTGCTTCAACATCTCTTTTTTTTTGCTTTACTAGGTTCGCGCTGATGCTTACATGATGCGCACAGCTCACAAGTAACTATATGACTTATTTGTGGTGAAACACTATTACCCCCTTTGACACTTTTAAGCCTAGTGTGAGTATGCAATTCCTAGGTACATGATTGTCAAATACCCAAGTAGACTGCCACATCACAAACCTGTGTGGAAGTGTGCATGGTACCCATCATCATGTATATTCATCCAACTACTAGAAATTAGGGTCAAAAACAACTTAAGATGATAGCCTACACCATAGTTGCCTCGCCATATATCAAAATCACCCAGAGAATTGAACTCCAGCCTTAAAATCCTAGTTGTGATATAGACACCACGATGATTGAAGACACTGCAATATCAACCACCTATAACCTGCGACTTTTGTTTAATCCAAGTTATATAGTACATACCATTGATCCTACCCTCACAGGTACCCTTTGCAGATAATACGCATTTGTACATTACAGACCAGCCTCACTATCAGTTCCAAACTCAATTGATTCACGATAGGTGAGAATATCTATTACCACCACCTATTGTCAGGATGGTATGGATCTAGACAAAGCGAACTTACACCTTTTTGGTGGTAGCTACTATCACACCTTATAGACATCTCAGGGTCACCATATTCTACAAATTCATGATCTTCAATGTACATGATATATACGCACCCTATGATATTTATTCCCAGAATCGAACTGTTAAATCCCGCAAACTTAATTTGTTGCGATCTGCCTTGGCTAGGGGCTGAACTAGGGTCTATCGTAGTGTAACCTATGATAGGGCTTAGCGTTTTACTGCTAAGCTAAGACTACCAGATCCTATTTTCAACATCTCTTTGGTGTAGCTGAAGAACATAACTCTACAATGGTATTCAAATCTTGGCTATTCCTTCAGCTCAATCACATTATTTTTAGAGATTTATGATTAATATTCCAAGATATGACAGAACTTGACAGCGTTAACCATTGTAGTCTTATTATTAAGGGTCTTAATGACAGAAGATTACTTAAGAAAATCTTTGCTAGTCATCTATGACGAGGCTCAAGCTCACACCGCTTACTTGCCAGCAACATTCTCTTTTACATAACTTAATTAAGGTAGGATAAGGCATTTTTTTCTGTAGTGGTTTGGTCTTTATCAAAATTATTTTCTTCAATTTAAAAGCAATTATTTGCATAACTGGGTCTAGCCTATCATTATTGCGAGCAAGAGGTGAAATATTTTCGAGGGGAAAGGAAGAACCACAGTAAGTTAATCCTGCCGGTCTCAGTGACTTTGAATAATTAATTAATTTACATTATTTATAGTATTCTAACCTTTAATGATTTTGGTCGAATTGAAACCTCTGATGAGTTATTTGAACTGGTAAAGAGTATAATTCCTCTAAAAGAAGAAGAAAAAGAAGTTATATTACCTGCGAATGAATGATTTAAGGTAATGTCTCATGAAGATTTGCTGAATTTGATCTTTTTCAGTTTTTATAATTTAGTTTCTTAACAGGATCGCTATCATTGGTTGTGAATATGGATACAGTATCTCATTAGTTCTAATGATTTTAATCCTGAAGAACAACTAATGAGTCTCATTGAGAATCTTACAACTAAAGCTGAAGGTTTATCAAACAGAGAATATAATATCTACACAGGCTTCGAAAATTTGAAAAAATATCCTTCAGGTCGACCTACTAATATCAACTGTGTTGCTACATTACAATTAATGAAAAGTGCCTTTGTTTCATATTCTATGACAGAAAGGCCAATAGCGTTTACCAGTAATAATGAGATAGATGTTATGAATTTGGGCTTTGTTTATATCAAAAGTCTTCAAAAAAAATTTAAATGCGTCATTGACGAGTCTCTCGTTATTCAAACTGCATTCAACAACTTTAAAAGGAATCTGAATAATGTGTGGTTTCAGCTGATGTCACAGACCAATTTTAATGCGTCTATGTCAGGACTTATTTGGGAGAAGATTGTTGTAAATTATTTGCGTAAAAACTCTTTGAAAGTAATACAGCTTTAT